CCACTAAATACTCGTACGCTCTATCTCAATTAAATTCCAACCAAATCAAGGAGATCAAAGACGTCATCACTCAGCCTCCCGCGAACGATAAGTATGAAACGGTGAAGCAAGCGCTCATACAGCGAATGTCTGTCTCCCAAGAACAGCGCACACGACAGCTCTTAGAGCTAGAGGAGTTAGGAGATCGCAAACCATCACAATTTTTGCGACATCTCCGTACCCTGGCCGGAAATAATGTGCCAGACTCTCTATTACGCACGCTCTGGCTGGGAAGACTTCCACAACAGGCTCAGATGATTCTAGCCACCAGGGCCAACGACCGTCTTAACGAGGTAGCAGAGCAAGCCGATCGCATCCACGAGATGACAAACAAGGCAGTGGTAGCTTCTACGTCCACACCTGCAGCAACCTCACTCGAAGCAAGAATGGAGGCTCTGACTAAGCAAGTTGCTTCTCTCACTACGCATCTTTCCCGAGACAAGAAACGGGACAAGAAACCCGAAAGGAAACGAAGTCGAAGTCGCAGTCAAAAGCCGACGAAGAGCACAGATAATGACAAGCACTGTTATTATCACAACAGGTTCGGTGAGAAAGCCAAGAAATGCACTCAGCCATGCACCTACAAATCGGAAAACTAAAAGGGGAGTCACTAGCGGCGGCAAGCCGACTCGCCCCTTCACAACGCCGCCTTTTCGTAACGTGCCGGGATACCAAGAAGCGATTTCTCATTGACACAGGGTCCGACGTCAGTGTATATCCACGCTCTATGACAGCGGGCTACACGGCGTCTTCCACCTACGAACTATTTGCTGCAAACGGCTCTACAATAAACACATACGGCTGGCTTACATTGCAGCCGGAGCTCGGGTTACGACGTGCTTTCCCTTGGCGCTTTATCGTCGCCAACGTCACAGTACCCATCATCGGAGCTGACTTCCTGGCATACTATCACCTGTTACCCGATCTACAGCGAGGCCTTCTCCTAGACGGAAAAACAGAACTACGCACAAAAGGCACGGCAGAGAAAGGAACTACGCAATCCGTCAAGGTGCTGGCAATAGAAAACGACTACCATCGTATCTTGGCAGAATTTCCCGGGATTACGCGGGCTACTGCCGGGACGCGAAAAGCAAAACACGCTACCAGGCATCACATCAAGACGACGGACGGCCCACCTGAAGCCTGTCGTCCACGAAGACTCGCCCCCGACAAACTCAAGGCAGCCAAGGCTGAGTTCGACCTCTTGCTGCAAGAAGGGGTCATACGAGTATCGAAGAGCCCCTGGGCGACGCCACTACACATGGTGCCGAAGAAAGGGGATTCATGGCGGCCCTGTGGAGACTACCGGAGACTCAACGCGAGGACCGTCCCCGACCGCTACCCTATCCCACATATTGAGGATTTTTCGCAACGCCTCCACGGCAGCAGAATCTTCTCTACACTGGATCTTGTACGAGCGTACAATCAGATCCCCGTACACCCCGAAGACGTTCCGAAGACAGCGATAACTACGCCCTTCGGACTCTTTGAATTCCTCTTTATGCCGTTCGGACTTCGCAACGCAGCACAAACGTTCCAGCGCTTCATCAACGAGATTATAAGCGACCTGGAATTTTGCTATGCATACATTGACGACATCTTAGTCGCCTCTAGCAACGAAGAGGAACACAAAAAGCACCTGCGTACACTTTTTAAACGTTTGGAAGAGAACGGCATATTACTGAGCCCGGCTAAGTGTGTTTTCGGAGCCGACAAGGTTCTGTTCCTGGGATACGAGGTCTCCGCTGAAGGCACACGACCTCCCGCAGATAGAGTTGAGGCGATCAAACAATTTCCCAGGCCGGAGAACGTCCAACAGATGCGACAGTTCCTGGGCACACTGAACTTCTACCGAAGATTCATTCCCGAGGCCGCTCAGGACCAAACCATACTAAACGGTCTACTCAGCGGGCCCAAAACCAAAAAGAAGGCTCCCATTACCTGGACTGCAGAATTGGACGAAGCCTTCGAAAAATGCAAAAGCAGTCTCTCAAGGGCTACTCTGCTGGCGCACCCTAAGCAAGATGCAGAAGTCACCCTTACGACGGATGCATCTGACACCGCCATAGGAGCAGTAATTCATCAACGAGTCGGAGAAGATTGGCAACCACTAGCTTTCTTCAGCAAAAAACTCAATCCGGCTCAACGAAAGTACAGCCCGTACGACAGAGAGCTGCTGGCGATTTATATGGCGATCAAACACTTTCGTCATATGCTGGAAGGAAGATTCTTTATCGTATTTACAGATCACAAGCCGATCACATACGCCTTCAACCAGGATCTCCTTCACAGCTCTCCCAGACAAGCCCGGCACCTACAATACATTGGTCAATTCACGACCGATATCCGTCATATCGCCGGCAAAGATAATACGGTCGCAGACGCTCTCTCTCGTATCGAGAGTATTCAGACCGCAGTTAATCTGGAGGACTTGGCCAAAGCACAAGAAGAAGACACCGAGATACAGGACTACCTGAAGGAAACTTCTTCACTCAGACTCCAGAGGATACAAATTCCCGGAACCAGCTCCACGCTGTACTGCGACACTTCGACGCCGGTGGCACGACCATTTGTCACTAAACAGTTTCGAAGACAAGTGTTCCAATCTCTACACAGTCTGTCGCATCCGGGGACCAAAACATCAGCGAAATTAATATCGCAGCGGTACGTCTGGCCACGAATCAAGACAGACTGTCATGAATGGGCGAGAGCCTGTCTCGCCTGCCAGAAATCGAAAGTCCACAAGCACACGCATTCGCCTATAGGACAATTCGTCGGCCCCACAAGACGTTTTCAACACATACACATAGACCTGGTAGGACCACTACCGTTGTCTCGAGGATACAGATACTGCCTCACAGCAATCGACAGATTCACAAGATGGCCTGAAGCTATTCCCGTGGCAGATATATCCGCAGAGACAGTTGCCCACAACCTCTTCACACACTGGATCTCGAGGTTCGGCACACCCACACGCATCACTACGGACCAGGGTAGGCAATTTGAAGCCGACCTGTTCCGTCAGTTGAATAAAATAACAGGTACGGTGCATATACATACCACAGCCTATCATCCAGCAGCCAATGGAATGGTCGAGCGCTTACACCGGCAGATGAAGACTGCAATCAAGTGCCACGCAACGGAGGCATGGACAGAAGTGCTCCCAGTCATCATGATGGGGATCCGAGCAGCATACAAGACAGATCTCCAAGCAACACCAGCTGAACTCGTATACGGTGAGACATTAAGACTGCCTGGTGAATTTTTACAGGAAACTCCACAGGAGACCAGCAGCTTGAGCGACTTCATACTGCAGCTGAAGAAAGCCATGAGAGATCTACGACCGCAGCCAGTAAAGAGGCATGGTACACCGGCCGTCTTCGAACATAAGGACCTGCCAAATTCAACGCACGTGTTCCTCAGGCACGACGCACCAAAGGCGTCCCTGCAACCAAGCTACGACGGCCCGTATGAAGTCCTCAGCAGAACAGACAAATACTATAAGTTACGGATTAACGGAAAGACCGTCCACGTAACAGTAGACAGAATCAAACCGGCGTACATGTTGGCTGACCAGGACGAACCTAAAGCCACACCGGTTACACCAGCCCCGAAGAACTCTACGACGGGCACTCCAACTCCAGAAGAGACGATCACAAGAAGCGGCAGGACGTCAAAGAAAACTGTCCGTTTCCAAGCCCCGGCTTTCAAACAACGAAGGGGGTAATGTGGCGGCCTACGGCAGCCACAGGCGCCGGGCCCCCCTGCGACCACGCGGTCACGCGCACCTGACGCGTAGCACAGGGCGCCCGGCCCCCAACGTAAGCGCCTGGCGCTAGCCCCACGCGGAGCGGCCGCGCTAGTTCGCGGCGCCGCCGCTACGCCGCGCAGTCTCTCGGGAGTAAGATTTGGTGAGTACCAGGATATAAGGGAGGAAAATGCGAGCATTTTCACTTCACTTCGGCGCTCAGTCGCCACGTACCAGCGCTAGCCGCTGTCTCTTGCGCCCTGGACGCAATATAAAGCGCTTAATCGCTCTCCTTCGGGAATACAAGCGCTTAGTCGCTCTCCTTCGGGAATATAAGCGCTGAGTCGCTCTACTTCGATAATATAAGCGCTTAGTCGCTCTCCTTCGGGAATACAAGCGCTGAGACGCTCTCCTTCGGGAATACAAGCGCTGAGTCGCTCTACTTCGATTCTACAAAGCGCTAAGTCGCTCTACCTCAGGCGCCTTGGACGCCCCAAGCGCTTAGTCGCTTCCCACGTGCGCATTGGCCGCACAACAAGCGCTAGACCGCTTTATCGCAAAGGCGCCATGGTTTCGCCAACGAAGCGTAAATCGCTACATCGTGAGTGAAAACTGCGTAAAACGCAGAGACTCAAAGCGACACATTTCAGATAGAATACTAACCCGAAAACTTTCTTTCTAGACTCGGTTTCCAGGCACGAACGATCACGTCCGTGGAAATCCGAACGATCCCACCAGCCTAGACCGGAGGACTGTATACCGGTCCAGAGGAAGACACGGCCGATACCTCTGGACCAGTATCGAAAACGACGACGAAC